AGATAACAGGGGGGGGGGGGGGGGGGTCCACCAAGTCTCACCCCCAAAGCTACCTTTAAAAAAAAAGAAAGGCTTAGACAGGCAGAATCACCTTTCATTCTCAAGAGAACTCTCAGTTTCAAGACATTTGAGACTCTGGTATTGACTGATTCAATGCAGGGAGGAGGGGATTATATTATTGGGGAGTGATTGAGAAAATCCATGACCAGATGTCACTAATAGGGGCAAATCGGGGAGCCCTTGAAGCAGAGGGACAGCTCTTGGGATAATTTATTTATTTATGTGATTAAATGTATGAATCGCCCACCCCGCAAGCAGGCTGTAGAAGATTTACAGCCATTGTAAAAAACAAAAACAAACATTTAAAATACACATAGGGCTCTTTTTGGTAGAAAAAGCCCAGCAGAAACTCATTAGCATAATAGGCCACACCCAACAGCAGGAACTCATTAGCCTATTAGGCCACACCCCTGACAGCACAGCACATTAACATATTAGGCCACACCCCCATGTTACCAGAAGTGTGGTCATCCAGTCACACCCACCTTTCGCTTCTTATTCTGTTTACCTTGTTTGTTGTCAAAACCCAGGGCCTTTTTTTGTAGCAGGAACCCCTTTGCATGTTAGGCCACACACCCCTAATGTAGCCAATCCTAATGAGTTTCTGCTGTTGGGTGTGGCCTATTATGCTAATGCATAAAAAACTGGGCGTGGCCAACTTGGGAGCCAGCCGGAACTCCGTTCCTGTGCGTTCCTGCCCAAAAATAGCCCTGATATATATGATAATTTAAAACCAACCCAGATAGCAATATAATAGTCCACCCCTTTACTGACCACACTGCTGCCCTGCATGGCAGGGTAGGGGAGGATAGGTGGGGGCCATAGGAAGAAAAAGGAGGAGGAGGAGATTGGATTTATACCCCACCCTTCACTCGGAGCCTCAGAGCGGCTTACAGACTCTGTTCCCTTCCCCTCCCCACAACAGACACCCTGTGAGGTCGGCGGGGCTGAGAGAGCTCTGACAGAAACTGCTCTTTTTCAAGGACAACTCTTATCACAACTACGGCTGGCCCAAGGTCATCCAGCCAGATGCAAGTGGAGGAGGAGTGGGGAATCGAACCCGGTTCTCCCAGATTAGAGTCCGCGCACTTAACCACTACACCAAACTGGTCTCAACCTCCCATTGCTCCCCTCAACTAAAAGACTAGTGGAACATCTCTGTCATACAAGCCTTGTGGAATTGCATTAGATCCTGCAGGGCCCTGATGTCATTCGGCAGGGAGTTCCACCAGGTCGGGGCCAGGACCAAAAAGGCCCCGGCGCTAGTCGAGGACAGTCGGGCCTCCCTATGGCCGGGGTTCACCAGCAAGTTTCTGCTTGCCGATCTCAGTGGTCTTTTGGGGACATATTGGAGGAGACGGTCCCAAAGGTAATAACAATAAGCAAAAGGAGCAGAAAGAGCTGCTCAGTGTATCCCGGCAAAAATCAACTAAGCAAGGCACCAGCATGCGTACAGGCAGGGCTATTTTTGGGCAGGAACGCACAGGAACAGAGTTCTGGCTGGCTTCCAAGTTGGCCACGCCCAGCAGGAACGCATTAGCATAATAGGCCACACCCAACAGCAGAAACTCATTCGGATTGGCTACTTTAGGGGTGTGTGGCCTAACATGCAAAGGGGCTCCTGCTACAAAAAAAGGCCCTGGGTTTTGACAACAAACAAGGTAAGCAGAATAAGAAGCAAAAGGCGGGTGTGGCTGGATGAGCACACTTCTGGTAACATGGGGGTGTGGCCTAATATGCCAATGAGCTGTGCTGTCAGGGGTGTGGCCTAACAGGCTAATGAGTTCCTGCTGTTGTGTGTGGCCTATTATGCGAATGAGTTCCTGCTGGGCTTTTTCTACAAAAAAAGCCCTGCGTACGGGATGCGTGTGTTTGAGCACACAGGTCAAATAAAACTAGGCAACCACACCCAGAGCTCTCACAAGACATTTTGGGTGCCAGAAATGGAAAACACAAATCCCCCCCAAAAAAAACCCCAAAAAACCAAACGAACAAAGACCGCAACCCACTGGTAAATTCTCTCTGCCCCAATGAAATTAACACGAGTGAAGCAAAGATACCGAAATGATATATTTTTTTGCACAGCTCTCGCCCACTTCATCAGGACTTGAACAAGGGGGTGTCTGCCCCTTGGTTCGGATCTGGAGAAACACACAAGCAAACCCTGTGATGGGAACACTATTAAGAAGGTTTATGTAACTTTTTAGACTGTATAAAACTGCAAAACGTTTTTTCAGCATTCTCAATTATACAATACTGTAAAAAAAAAAAGTCCACCATAGTCCAACATTATGAGTACCCGGTTATGAACTCATTTCAACTTTACAGTCTTCCTCAGATGTAATCCTATATTGTAGTTGTCAGTTTCTTAATCCAGCTCAGTACTGTAATTTCTTTCATAATATCCTGGAATAAACCGTAATCAATGAAAATTCACATGTAGCTGCATGGAAATTAGTTATTTTAAACTTATAATGATTTAATCATTTAATTTTTAGAAAACTTACTTCTGGTTCCATCATAAGTGTTTAACTCTAAGCTGTGGGGTCTTGTGAGCAAAAATTGTACTTTGTGAGCTACTGGCATTAAAGTTGTGAGCGAACAATTTGGCTGCTGCATAAATTAGTTTGCTCTGGAGCCCTCCTTCCTGAGCTAAGACAAAAACTGTGTGAGCTGGAGGCTAAAAAACTGTGAGCTAGCTCACACTAACTCAGCTTAGAGGGAACACTGCCTGTGATCCCTTTTGTTTTGTGCTCGGTTCGGATCTGCCTGGCTCTCACTGGGCCACCGGACTCTGCTGCTACTTCTGCCCTGAGCGGGCTGTGACAGGGTCAATTTGCCACTTCCCAGAAATAGAATGTGCTGGGGAGGGAACCAAGAAAAGCTCCTCTCTCTCTCTGCGGGGAGGCCTGCATCCTACTTTGAGAAGAGCTGTGGCCACAGGAGAGATGCCAGAGAGAGAGAGAGTTCTGAAAGCATTTCCCGCAGAGCTAGCCTACAGAAGCTGCGCGCAAGCGTTTGCCTCCCGTCCGCGCACTGCACACCTTTTGGCACCACCGTTTACTTCGAGGACTTGGGGGGCCTTTGAGGAACAGGGGGATCTGCCTGGAGGGACTGTCAGTCATAAGAGCACTCAAAGTCTCGCCACAGAGTGCCGTGGGCACGCACAGCATTCATAACCCCCTTTCCAATTCTGTTTTCAGTGGCAAAGCTTTTTACAGGCCTGACTGAAGATAAAGTACTACTTATCGACAACATTTCCAGCAATCCGTTGGACGATGGTGTGTTTTTCCTTTGTTTTAAAACGGAAAGTGTTCCGTCTTCGTTTGAGGGTAATGTTCCGAAGTCAGAATAAATCATTACAGCATAAAAGGTACCTGTTGCAAAGGGCTTTGGGGGTGGGGGAAGGAGAGGGAGAGTTGAAAAAACCATGACTGCAAAAAACACGGCTCTGGAAATCATGATTTATGGCATAATTTATCTTTTTTGGGTTTCTTTAAAGGAAGCCAACATCTGAATCTCAACGAATGCCTTTAATCTGTGGATAAAACAAGCCTG